GGCCCCCAAACCCTATTCTAATTAAGGCCCCTGCATGATAGGACTTTCAGGGTGTTGGGCCTTGCTTGCGAGGTTGGTTGCCTAAACCCTCCAAAACCTGCTTGTTCATGGACCCGACAGCCGCCTAAACCTGGCAGAAACAGTTTTTAACCCTAAACCCTAAACCGTAAACCGTAAAAAGGAACGAAGCCGGACTTCGCCCTCCACTCCCCCCGCCCGGCCCCGCCCTCAAAACAAGACAACCCTGAAGGACGAAATGAACCCCCAAAAGAGTTTAAGGTTCATATACCATATAAGGATTCATAGTACAAGGGTATAGGGCCCCTACTTTTAAGGGTCATTCCGTCCTTAAGGAAGAGACACCAGCCTAAGCCCCTAATTAAGCCCTACCTACAGGGTCATACCCTACCCCCTTTTTTAAGGTACCTAGTTTTATGGTTAGGAACTGCTATATAAAAAGTATAGGTACCCTAAAAGTGGGTAGGGTATGACCCTTTTGGTAAACCCCTAACTACGAAAGCCCAGAGACCTGGCAGGGAAGCGACCCGAGCCAGCTCGATGAGGCGTTGCAGTGCTATGAGAAGGCGCGGAAAATCCGCGAGGCTGGGCGCAAGGCGTTTTTTCAGTGTACCATAACGGCTTTGGGTGTAAGGTTTATATGCTCTAGAGACCGAGGCCCCTGCTGAGACAAGCTCTTAGGTTCTTATAGGGTTCTAGATAAATGTTACCGAGCCCATCAGAAGTTCCAATTATCCGAGTTTCCCTTCATCAGCCTACACCCATGCACTACGTACCCTCTCATCCGCGGTTCCTGCTTCTCCAAAAGCATACATATCCTGAGAAGCTCAGGTGTCATTGCATGGCACCCTAAACCCTAAACCGTGCATTCCACTGGAAGCGGAGCTGAGCAGAAAGATCACGCAGCTCAAGGCGGGAAAAGCAACCTTGCACCGCCATAAAAGACTGCGATCTCCTTGGTTACCGACTACCAGGCCCTGGTCATCAAATTGAAAGAGGTGCAACACCGCCTCAACGAGGAGACCGGTGACTTCGCGAGCGACCCCAATCTGGGCGGTGGTGGACATGAGGTCGCAGCTTTGCGAGGCCCAAGAAGAAATGCTGCACAAAATATTGGAACTGGAGGCCCGCTTGGCAAGAGAAAAAAGCAGGCGGAGCTCCGCTGCCTTCGTGAAGCCCAGGCTGCAAGATGCGCGATGAAATGTCGTGGTGGACCTTGCCAGGCTTGTCCGAGTGTGAGTGTCAAAAAAGCCCTAAACCCTGAACCGTATCCTGGACCACTGCACGCCATGCCAGCCTGGTGCGAGTGTGAGTCGAAACCGTATCCTGAGCCCAAGAGCCCGAATTATGGTTACCCATAAACCCCAGAGCAGTTCCTTTTTGGGTTTCCCTTATAGGATTCTATATATGAACCCCAAAAAGGAACCCTAAACCCTAAACCCCGAAACCCCCTACTATGGGGCCTATGGTTAGACCCCGTCAGGAGACCGACACGATCCGGACGGACGAGGGCGCGCAACTCCTCTACGGAGCCCGACACTCGGAGACGGGCCGTCTCATAGGGTTGATGATATAAAATCTGCATTACCCATAATACTAATAATATATAATAATAATCATAATAATAATAATAATAATAATAGTAATAATAATAATAGTAATAATAATTCGGAATATACCATAATTCCCATAGTTTAGGGTCCTTAAGATATTGCAGGATTTATATCATCAACAGTAGGGTTTTATAAGGCGAGGGCTTAGGGCTTACAGAGGATTGGAGCTTAAGGCCTAGGGTTTTTAGAAGGGTTCCTTTAGGGAATGGCTTCAGGTTTAGGGTTTCCAGAAGGCTCCTTTGAGGACTTTTTTGATGCTTCCATAAAGGTTCTGTAGTTCAGGAGGGGGGCTTCAGGAGGGGGGCCAAGGTTTGGAACAGCTTTGGTCCTGGCAGCGTGAACTCAACAAGCCGTACCCAAAGTTGTATCTGTAACCTTTTCAGCCCTTCTTCGGGAATGTACTCCCTATGGAATCAGTGCCACAGCGTTCCAAAGCTTTACGTAACATGATTCCCGTAAACTATAGACCAGTATGGCTGGTTGAGCATTCAAGGACTAGGCTTTTCTCGTTGCGGTTGCCGAAGGTGTAGATTTCAGTGTGTAGTGTTTGTTGACGCAGTTTGGGTTTTGGGGGTTGGGGTGCTATGTTTCCGGATCCTAAACCCTAAACACTAAGCCCTAATTAGTTGTTCTGCGGGCCCCAGGTTCATACGATGGATAACCCGCTGGCAAGTAGGCAGTTCCTTTGTCAGGCAGCTTCCCACAGAATCCCGACCCCGAAGCCCTAATCTGAAGGGCGCCTCCCGTGAATTGTGATGGCATAGCAAGGAGCTCAGATGTTCAGAGTTTTTACAATCCGTAAGCCTCAAGCCCGTTGCAAGGAGGGAAATGCTTTCCTTGTTCGAGATGGGGACAAAGATCTTGACGCAGCCATCGACCGCTACGAGGAGGCGGAATGGGCGGGGCTCACAGGCTTGGCGGTTCGAGTCCTGTTTGAGCTGACGTTGTTTCGTTTTCGTTGCGATGGGGTTTTGTGAATCAGAACTAGAACAGGAAGCGTTGAGATCGGAGGATTTGGGATGAACAGGAACATGCTCCTTCCACCCCTGTCCCGGTCATTCACGCACCCGGCTAAGGTTTTTGTTCTCCCAGTGCCGCTAAGTCCACTGCTGATGAGTCTGGGGGGGTCCTAATCATGTAAAGTCCAACCCTAACCCTACACCGTTCTTGGGAGACTGGGATAGGTTTTGCTGGGACCCAAAGTGTTCCGGCCTGAAACAAGCAGGGCCCCCGAAAATGTTGAATATTGCGCCGGCCTATGGATTAAGCTACCGAGACTGGCTGTCCATTGCTATCCACCTACTGTTGGAAGGGCGCCCAACCCTTCCGTGTAGTTTGCTGTCGTTTTGTTTGAGGCGGTGGGACCCCACACTAATCAGCGTAATAGAGGGTCCTAAATACTTCCCGATACTATTGTTGGAGGTTCTGTTTAGATTTGTAGTATCACATACCCGAAAGCCCTATTCTGGTTCTTCGGGCCCCTATCTTACCGCATTACAGTCGAACGCCCTGCAGACTTCCAGAGAATGTCAAGTTCAAGTCCCAAAGGAACAGGAACCCTAAACCCTAAACCGTGAACATCAAGACACGACTCAGCCCTAAGTTTAGGGGTGTAGGGTTTAGGGTTAAGCCTTAAGAGAAACTGTAGCCCCCTAAACCCGCAACCTCTTGAGACCCTGAGCCCCAGACCCCTAGGTTCCTTAAAGGCTCTTCTCCACATCCCCCGTAGACCCCTTGTCATCAAAGTACCTCAAGACTCAGAAGACTGAGTTCTACAGTCGTAGTGTTTATTCAACTGTCGGTTGCTTCGGTTTAGGGTTTAGGGTTGCTACTGAGAGGGAGTAAGATCCTAAGGACAAGATCCCAGCAACCCTCCTCCAAGTTTTGAGCACACCCCCTCTGTTGGGTAGCAACGGCACGATCCCAAATATAGTACGGCACCCTTATAAAGGAATGAACAAGGGACCTTAATTTAATTTAGAGAACTACCCACATGCAGTTTGCGGCAGCCACGGCTTAGGGTTTGGGGTCCAGCAGGCCAAGAAGATCCGCGAGGACCTGCGCTCGCCCTCGGGGTTCTGGATCCTTCGGCGCCTCAACCTAGCCTTATCACGCATTTTATACCCCTCCTCAATCCGTATAGCAAGACCCCTAAACCCTAAATTTCCCCCAAGGGTCTAAACCCTAAAGCCCCCAAACCCTATACCCTGGGTCATGAACTCCTGCACTCCTGGAGATAGTATCACACCGACCCAGACCTATTGAACCTCGCCTGGCATGTCCGAGTTGTGAGAGCGTAAAAGCCCCAAGCCCTAAACCCTAAAACCACCAAACCCTAAACCCTGAAACCCCCAAGCCCTAAACCCTAAAACCCCCACCCTGAAACCCCCCAACCCCAAAACCCTGAAGCCCTAGCGTAGGATTTAGGCCGTTTGTTGAGCACTAAGTCGGCTTGAGGAGGTTTGGATTGAAGCAGAAGTCAGGGGTCGGGATAGGGCTCTCTGGAGTATCTAGGATTTAGGGTTTAGGGTTTAGAGTGTAGGGTTTAGGGTTTAGGATGATTCGTGCTGAGATCCCCGTTGCTGTACCTTAAGGGCATGAAGATAATCATATTCCAACTTTTTGGCTTCTACACTTTAGAGATGTTTAGAGTTTAGGATTTGGAGTTTTGGGTTTAGGGTCGAACGAAAACTTCTGCAACATCCTGTCAAGGGTAGGCTGGGCATTTGCATGCTACCACCTGTTCTTACGACCCAAGCCCGCTGTACGTTACGCTTTAGACCCTTAGAGACCAGAAGAGTTGAGGGCCAGTTGAGGGAATTTACGGATGGGCTGTTCTTTGGAGTCTTCTCTAGATGACCGTTTAGGGAGCAAGCTTTAAAGACAGTCCCAGCTGGACCCCAGACCCCTCGCCGGGAAGTTCATTGAACAGAGAACCTAACGCCCTACTAAGTTACTAAACATGAATGGTGGTATCCAGGGCTTGCCTGTAACCCAAACCTACACACCGTTGACAATTACCGCGCATACCCTGGAATAGTAGCAGGTTACCCCAGTACCGCCACCGCATATGGAGTAGCAACTTTGGCATTACACGGGCTGCCAGAATAGGCACTTTGAAGTACATGCTTTATAGGTACATCGTAGTTTAGGTTTCCGGAGACTCAATAATACGGCTGCTGAAAAAATCCTGCAATCCCCCATCATAAGAAATCTACACCAATTCCCATAATTTAGGATCCTTGAGGTAATGCAGGATTTATATCATCAACAGTAGTATCCCCTTGTACATCTCATTCTAGTGACGAAGGCCCTCCACACTATAATACTACAAACCCTTGGCCCCAAAGGAACCATACAACGGAATCCATCAAAGGAGCCCGCTGAAGGAACGGCTCCTCGACTAAACCTTGCACACATTCTAGAATACAACCCTCGTGGAACCCTTTGAATAGAAGGAAACCTAAACCCTAAACCCTAAACCCTAAACCTTCTAATTATGAGGGCCCTTCTCGGACAGGGACCCTTGGGTGCAGTGCAAAAGCCTCTCAGGGTTTAGGGCTTAGGGGTTGGGTGCGACACGTCCGGGCGGGATTCACGCAAGCCTGTGCAAAAAAGGGTAACCCCTAAACCTAAAATCCTACACCCTAAACCACTACCACTGACGGGGGCGACCATTCCTCCTGAAAGTCGTCCTCGCGCCGGCGTCCGTCGGTTACAAGTTAGCCACATACTTAGTGCAGAGAGCTGAAAAAGGTTATCTCAGCTTAGGAAACCGAAACCAGCAACCCCTAAACCCTGAACCCTAATCCCTGACAGATCCCTGACAGGATCCGTTAGAGAACCTTTCAAGGATCCCTCAAAGAACCCTACTAAAGCCTAAATATCTAAACCCTAAACAATCCAAGAACCCTATATAAACCCCTTCAGATCTTCCAAGAGGAAAGGAACACGCTCGACACGCCCGAGGCTGCGCGGCTTTTGCCCCTGGGCCCGTGTTTAGGGTTTAAAGCTTATAGGTTTTATGCTTCAAGGGGTTAAGGGGCCAACAAGAAGGATTGATTCTAGGGTTTAGAACTTTAGGACTTTAGGGTTTATGGTTTTCGGGTTTAGAGGTTTAGGGGGTGAGGTTTCAGGATTTCGGGTTCAGGGTTCCTTGCCGAGGAGCTTAGCTCTTAAGATATAGACTTTCCTAGGGCTTGGTAGAGTATGCATACGGTGTTACGGGTAAACAGGGTGTTCATCAGGGTCGTTACTGGGCGTAGTATGGACTGTCATGGTGCTTTGCCGTATGGTGGTTTGAGACGTTGTACGGTTTTTCATGGTTTTGTTAGGGCTCTGTTGGTCCTTGTATGGCTTCAGGGCGTATTAGAGGTTTTTCTCATAGGATTTTACAGGAATCGAAAATGTTTTATATGGTGCTAAAGGGCAGCATTATGATTCCGATGATGATTGTTACTATTATTGCTCTTATCAGTACCACTATTAGTTCGTATTATCATTATCATTATTATTAGTAGTTGTTGTTGTAGCAGTAGCCGCAGTAGTAGTAGTAGTAG